GGAAAAGGAAATCAAAAGAAGATTTTCTCATATCTTTATGATATATTTGAAATAAGGTGAGAATGGAAAAATATTTGAAATAAGGTGAGAATGGAAAAATTAAAACATTCGTGAATAAAACGATATGCACATATTGATGAAATATATATTGGAGATTACAAATCAAATTAATGAAATAATTTGTATTCAAAGACAATCAAATAATGACAAATTTCCTTTCAGTTTGGAGGACATCAACGATTTTGGCATTTCAAGAGTTCATCCTAGTCATTTTATCTGTAACAAGTTTTAATTATAAACATCAGTCATTGAACTTCTTTCTGGGAGATAATTAGAAAGGAAATATTTTTTAATGATTAGTAGAAAACAATTGGAAAGGTGAACTCTACAACACCCGAGCTTATAAATGAAACGCATTATAATGCGTATATTCACAGTAGGAATTGGGGAAAAATAACAAAAATAACCTGACCTAGTTATTAACTTGGAATTTGCCCCTGCCCTGCCCTATTAAAATTTTTTAAATATAAAATTTTCCCCTGCCTGCCCTGCCCCGCCCCATTTAGATTTTGCCCTGCCCTGCCCCATTAAGAGTTTTCCCTGCCCCGGCCCGCCCCAATTGTCATCCCTAGATGACTTATTTTGCAAACTTAAAATTAAAAAGTAAGATAGTTAATTCTATTTCAACTTGAATATTTAGCTAACATTCATTTCGATAAAGACCATTTAACAAACAAATTCACTGGCATGCCACAATTTCTAGGTACACGTAAATGCAATATATATATATATATATATATATATATTGTTATGAAACTAAAAGCAATTTACTATAAACTTGAACAAGATAATAGAGATAGAAAGAAGGAAGAGAATTTATTTCTTCTTCAATTGTGTGTATTTTCCTATCTATTACAATGCCTTTATATAGGCATGGAAAGTGAAGAAAATATGTCATTGAATATGTCATTAAGCATAGAAAATATGTCATTGAATATGTCATTAAGCATTTGTAAAAATCATGGAGGAGTAGACATACACCATAAGATTTATCTTATAACACTCCCCCTTGGATGTCCATAGATAATGTGTCTCGTTAAAACCTTATTAGGAAAAAACCCTATGGGAAAAAAAAATCCTAATGAAGGAAAAAGAGTACACATGTTCAGAAATACGCTTTTTGGTTGCCTCGTTAAAAACCTTGCCAGGAAAACCCAGTGGGACAAAACCTTGTAAGGGAAAAAGAGTACAACACGTATTAACTCCCCCTGATGAGAGCATCAATTCATATCCTTGAACCTTCGCATCCCAATCTTGTACACTAGTTTCTTGAAGATTGACGTCGGTAGAGATTTGGTGAACAAATCAGCCATATTATCACTTGAACG